TCACCTGCACGGGTTTCTGGGTTTGCTGAGTCGACTCGTTCTGAGTCGAAACCGTGGCCATGGTGGCTCCGATTGGAAGGTGGATCGGGACTGCTGATTTCGGGTAGCTTCGTGAGAAATGAGACGAAAAGGGAAGAAGAGAAGATCTGAAGCTAAATTGTCTGAGCATTACACAATGAGTGTCCAGGTGCATCGAGTCCACATTACCAGAAAATTGCGTAAGCTTTTTTAGGGTTTTTGGATTCGTTTCGAATTTGGGAATTTTACCCGAATCGCAAGTTGCAACCTTTTGAGTCACAAAAAATTGATTTTTTATTTATTTTTTTTGACGTCAGTGGGCTTAACACAACAACAAGACTCATGCATGATTCGTTCGTGGGCCAAAGCCGTCTTGAAGATGACGCAAGTCTAAATTTTAACTTTGTATTAATTATTTTTTTTGTAAAAATTGGTTTGTGGTATCAATCTTGTAGTAAAATAACAAGAAGAAAAAACAAAGGAATTGTGAGTATAGGCTAGTGGCAACAAAGCTCACCAAAAGGTGGCTTTGACTCCACTAACACTTGTGTGGGTTGTTGATGTAGGTCTTTTGTGTCGCCAATTCTATAAAGGATAATTGATTAGTGATGGAAGGTTTGATACTAGATTTATGTACTTCACAATTCTTTTCTTTAAAGATTGGGTCCAATGTCAAAACCTAACTAATCTATAAAATGTTTATAACCATCGAGTAACTCTTCACTAAGCAACCTCGTCCTTTGGCACGCCCTCTGATGACTCGGTGTCCTCACAAGGACTCACTACATAGGCAATTTCCTTCAAGAGTTTGAAATAGCCCCTTCCACCTCTTTTGAAATAGAGTTTATTAAAAGATTAATGTTGATGTTGATGTTGGCTCTACATCAACTACAATACTTTTAATAATTTGAAACCTCTGTAACTACAGTATTTTTATAATTTAAAACCTCTTTTAACTCTTATAAATTTATACGAGGATAGTACTCGTGTTATGCGCGAGATGAAATGAACATATAGAAATGAAATTTTAAATTTGTTTCTGTATATTCAAATTTGCATTTATTTTTTATTTTGTATACTAATGTGTTTCACCTATGAATAAAAAAACTACATAAAGTGAACCGAGTCGAATCAAAACAAAAATACATAATAATTCGAATGGATACAAAATTTTACTTTGTTTCTATGTTTTCTATTTTTAAATTAATTAGCAGTATTTTATCTCAGTATATTTAATCTACTAATTTTTGACGTAGTTTTAGTTATAGTATGGTTTATGTATTTACCAAAATTTTAATTGCTAACACATATTTTTCCAAACAAGAACGAATAATATTGTTTTCAATCTAAAATGTATTTAGTTATATATCAAGTATTGTTAAAATATATTTTGAACAATTCTTTTACATGTTCATAGATTTTTTAAAATATAAATATAAAATCTAATTTATTTTACTTTTGTCAAATTATATATATAGAATTTGTATGTAGATTTAATTGTGAGATTTAATATTAAATTTTAAAATAGTTGTTTTTGGTAAATTTATGAATATTAAAATTTGTTTGGCAATTGGATTTAAAGTAATAATAATTAATATTTTGAAATATTTGTGTTTAGTAATGGGTATA